TTGATTTATTTATTATTGCGGAGTAACTTAAGATATTAAATAAATGTAGTGGAGTAAAAATAAGTACAAAGTAGTACAACAATTAAATACTCAAGTAAAGTACAAGTATTTAAAAATGGTACTTAAGTACACTACTTGAGTAAATGTACTGTTACTTTACACCACTGATTTAGCTTTTTCCCTTATGACCCTGATAAATGAACTTGGCTTACTCTTATATCACACCTATATTCGCCTGTCATTATGGTTTACTCAATATGGATTGTTTATTGAACTGTAATAATAATAGCCTAGACCAGAAGCTATTCAAGTCAAATATTAATATAATATTTTGAAATGAAATGCATTATTTCCACCAGGTTTTGACATCCAAAACTATATTAAGTCTATGGTGTGCATGAATATTGTTGACAAAAGTCAAATGAATGTGTTTTGTAAATGTACTCTCAGTAGAAATGTGTCACCAGAATTTACGAAGGGGCATTGAATGCATCATTTTCACACTCGCAATTGCGAAACCGTTATTTTGACGTTTATCTCGGTAATCACCTCAAACTTAACCTGTCTGTGCAAACCAGCCATAACATAGCTATCAGTTAACTATTAATCTGTTAAATGATTATATGAATCATTCAACTATACAACTCAGAAATTGTATGCCTGGTAAGTACAGTTTAGCTATCTGCTTTAGTAACGGCTAATTTAACGTTGAAGTTAGCCAAGCTAATATATTAGCACTTAGCTAAGCAGCTGGCGAACCTGCTCACTTGACATTTAATTGTAATTTATGTTCGCAAGTTACCCCTATGACAAAACCACAGGATAATCTGTTATAGTTTAGTTGACTATGGGCTGACGTTAAATATGTTTTCAATACATGACATGTAAGCAGATAGCATAGCTAGCTAACGTTAGCTACTGGATATTGTTTATACATAACGTTTATAAATAAAGTGTTCAACAGCACCACAAGAAAAGATAACTAACGATATCTAACTTTAACTATAAAAAATACTGCATGTTTTAAATGCTATCTTAACTCTTCAGACACTAATGATACAATGAATAATCAGTGGAGGAAGTAACCAAGTAAATATACTCAAGTAGTAGTTGTACTATTTTGACATGTTTGTACTTTTCTCGAGTATTTCCATGTATTACTACTTTATACGTCTACCCCATAGGTCTACCCCACCACATTTTCGAATTGGATATCATACTTTTTACTCCTCTACATTTATTTTAACACTCATAGTTACCAGTGACCTTATATACAAACTCATGATATGCTGTTATGATATAATGCAGTACTGTACTGCTAATCTATTCACAGTATTTCACGTATCTAATTGACTCTCTCTCTGACTTTTACAGTAACATTACATCCAAATGAAAGAAGCAGTACCAATGGCAGGAAAAGTGATTCCACCGTCATTAAACAAGAGGGCAGTGAACAACACTAAGAGTCCTAAACAGACAACACCTCAAGAGGTAAGGATAGCTTTCTTGAATCAAAGTCTATTCAATTAGCATTTAAAAAAGAATAATGATAAAGTGGCTCGAATTAATAAAAAAACGTTATAATAATTAAGGATTTTGCTATTTTAATTTTTGATATGTTTACTTATTAGATACACCTTTAAATCCTTGAATAATGTTTTAATGTAACCTTTCTATTCTCCATTGCAATAGAAGGAACATCCACCTGCAAATCAAGAGAACTCTCCACCCAAAAAGAAAAAACCTCCCTCTAAATCAACCACTGACAAGTCAGCAGATTTATTTGAGGTGAAAACTGCAGGTATGTAAAGTCATATTATACTGCCAGTCACACAAAACTGTTGTAAAAAAAAACTTTTATTTTATTGAAATTAGACTTCAGCATCAGATTAGCTAACATCAATTATCCATGTAAGTACCTATCTATCACCATATTGGTGGTTTATGATTTGTATTATTATTCCATAATGCATGTGTACCCTGCAGAGCGAAACTGTGTACCCTTCTGGCAGTTTGTCCGTTGACAAGCCGCTTTCACAGGAAACAGCGGCTGACAGCTCCAATGATTGGTGTAAATTGGGAGAAATGTGTTATATGAATATAGTGATCACATAATAGAATTCTTAATTGTTATTTTCTTCTGAACATTTGGATTACAGTGTTTTTAAAGCTTAAAAAACATTTATTTGGCAAGTAAATGATGCTAAAGCTTGCACTAAAGGCCTAACATGAAAGTAATAACACAAGTACAGTATACACTGTGGTGGTCCCCATATTCAGGCGTGGAATTAGGTCATTAGGCTTATCTGTCTTTCCTCTATCATCAAGACTGATCAAATAAATAGAGCACAACACCTGCTACAGGAGCTGCATCCACCATTACGTACAATCGTTCAACTTTCGCCAGAAATGAATGTGTTCCATAAACTCTGTCTCATTCTGTTTCTCCCGTGTTCGCTGCAATAGGCAATTACAACTATCCAAACCATCAACAATTATCATTTTTGAATTGCTTATGGCTGACCCTATGTGTCTATCTTCAGTATTATAACAAAGTGTAAAGCTTTGCTATCATTGCTTTTCTGTGCTAATCCAAATAGTCAAAATCACATGAATTGATATGGCCTGGTTCCCAAACAGGTAATTCTTCTACATCATATTTTCATTTACAAATAGAAAACTATATTCTCAGAATTGTTATTTTGTATTGGGGTTAATTGTCTTGATAAGATCCTTTTTTTGCCATTGAGTGACATTTCTGCATCCGTTCTGTTGTGCTTTCTTACAGGTGCAGGTAGAGAGGTCAGCATGATGTTTTCAAAATTTGCTCAAGTGTTAAGGTATGTTGTGTTTCAATCAACCAGATTCCATTTGATAACGTTTTGAAGTTTCTTGATTATACATAATACTCAAAACTTTGAAAATGCTCAATGCTTAGAACTTTCCATCTGAAGATAATGTTGTTACGATGTGAGGTGCAGGTGAAAGAACGATACGTGGAGAGAGGGTTTTCTTGCAAAAAATAAACAGGCGTTTTATTCTTAGCCTTCATCATTATTCCCCAGAAACACAAACTGCATGTCTGGTGCTGCATTCACCAGCAAGGAACAAACACAAAATGCCCCTTCCCCTCTCTTCCCAACAACATTTATAGGAGACTACCCGCCTTCCCACTCCAACCTGGCCAATCAGGTCATGGTTCTGAAAGCGGAGTGAAGGGTTAAATACAAAATTAAACACTGTTGTCTACATTTAATAAAACCCTAAAGGCTTAAGTAAATTCATTATTGCATCAACATACATATTATACCTTCAAAAACAACAAGGTCTGCTTAAAACGGATAGTTTTTAACCTAATTGACACTCATAAAATCACACATTTCCTGACCAATGGCGTCCAAGACTCCGCCTACTCATACGCCACATATAAGGAGTACTTTGGAGGCGTGCTCCCCCTTTGAGCACTGGGACAAGATGGCCTCCAGGTCTGAACAAAGGAAATGGTGATTACTTGGTGCTTGTGTATTTTACAGACTGAAAAATTAATTTAGATGCATTTTTATTAGTTTGTCTATGTAAACTGTTTTTATAACTTTAACTGAAATAAAGACAACTCTGAAAAAACATGTACTACCTTTCTTAACAAACAAATAGTTAAGACCAACATGTTAGTGAGGGAGTGTGTGCGCTTCCTCACAAATGTCAATAAAACATTAAAGATCTGTGGCTAAAAACAAACCCAATTTCAGTAAGTTGCTGGTTTTCAGGAAGAAATCATAGGTAGAAAGCAAAAGCCAAACACTTTAAATGCAGGTGCTTTTTTAAAGTTCAGTAGATCAGGTTTTCTTCCAAAAATGAGAAGGTGCGGTGACAACATGAAACCATTTTGAGTACAGACATTCACAGATTGAACACTGACACACTCTTCCTCCGTACTATTATTACCACTGTGATACTTCTCTAACGTCAGCACTTGTGGTTTGTTTCAGTGAGAGAGCTGCAGCTGATACCTCCCAGATGAAGGAGCTGGAGGGCATTTTGACAGAAGCTCAAAACCTCGAGTCCCACCTGAAGGAGAAGAAAAAGAACCTGAGGCAAACTCTGGCTCTAATTTCTGATAAACTGCTGGGTTAAGGAACCAACGCCGTGCAGAAGACCTTTTTATTTTACTGACAAATTATTTTTCTCTCATTGAATATCTTTGTTCATGTACTGCATGCCTTCTGCAGTTCATGTGTTAGTCATATTAACTAATACTCTGACATAAAATAAAGTCATACATGTTCACTGTTTTAATTTGAGAGTTATTAAAGTTATTAGCTTTACTAAAAACTCATTCTGAATATTACAATTACATTTTAATATAATATTTAAAATTATTTATTTTCACTCAACATGTGAGTTGTCATTCTTTATACTAAACTTCGCGGAAAAGCCTGTATATAAACTGACTCTTGCGACTTTTGAAATGTATCTTTCTGAAATGTATGTATTACTGTTTAGAAAGAATTAAAGTGGCAATCAAGTAAGAACAATTGTGTTGTGTTTTCATTTTAGATAGTTAATATGACTGATCTTTTGTGGAATTCAAAAATAAGGACATTTTACAAAAAATTAGTTTTGCATGACAATTTTTTTTCCATCCGCTAAATATTCAGGTGTTTTTTTTATTTTTATATTAGCAGTATTGTCAAAATCCAGCCAGCAGAGGGTGCAAGTGTGCCACATGTATACATCAACATTTACTGAAAAATATTCGAAATTCATAATGTTATAGTAGTGTTTAGTTTAGTTATGTTTCAATATATCAGTGACTGAAATGTGCAGTTCCTTTAGAATGAAGTTATAATAAACAATGGTATAATTGTAGCAATACAATACCTGTTTACACTGGCTGTAAAAATGTACGTGCAGTTCTGTTACATAATGTCCACTTGCAGTTAGAAAGCATTTTACAAACAATTGTTACTAAGAGGAGGAAATTAATGAGGATGACCGGATGAGAAGTGTATGTGCATTTTTATTGAGACTTACACAAGCAATTTACTTTATCATTCATTGGATTAACATATCATTTTACAACATGTGGGCGCTGTGCCAAAGTGTGCATTTGTTCAGTGTCCTGAACTCTTTTTGCAGACTTGCAATATTCTTAATTTTGCCCCCCTTTTTTTCCCCCTCAACTTAATATACACATGAATAATACCATTTTTAAAACAATGGTTTAAAGAATTGAAAGAACAACTTAAAACAGGAAAACATATTTCTTACCCTGCACATTTTCAACAATACAGCTACAATATGCTATACCTTCATAATTATCAATAGTATTACCTCGGTATATTGCTGGTATGAAAAAATATATATTTACATTTGTGTTCTTATTCCATTTGTGTGAAGTCTTATCTGTCCTATGCTATGTTTCAATCTTATTGCTGTTGGTGCTCCTAAAATGTATATAGGAGGCAATGAATATAGGTATATCTTATCTTATCTTAATATACATGATTAGGACTACCTGTGGAAGAAAACTATACATTCATATCTGCTTGGTGACCTCTAGATTCATGAGACAAACAACATTTGAGACAAACGGCACAGATAGTATTTACAATGTTCATGACCTCCTTGTCACGCGTCTATTGTGTGGAGTTGAATGTCCCGTGGAATCCGTACGGGATGTTGACAGGCACCTCAGCCCTGCCAACCTCCTTAAATGTTTTGGCATCTAAAACCAGGAGGAATGTACTCTTGTCCTGTAAAGATTGAAGACAAAGGAAGAAAAATAAATGTAAGATTCCAAAACATAAACAGACAATCGTTGAGAATCTGCTTTTTTTTCGGTTAATTTCACATAACTTTTGATAACATTAATTACCAAATGTTCTTTCCTATAATTAAAGACACAAAGAGCCTCCAAATCACTCAGTTGGGAGGTGTTGAGTTCATTTAAGCTGGTTTCTGTTACTTTATACAAAAATGATTATATATAGATTGTCTTTTTTCTTGTTAGGAATCATTTGAGTAGGACTTAAGTCACACCAGACGGATAAGAAAAGCTGTGACGTCCATCTTAACCTTCAGGTGGCAGGTTTGAGTTTTTTGCGTTTTGACGAGAGCCTATGTGGCCAGCCTAAGTATCCTCTTAAAATGCAGACCCGAGGAATGTTCGGTAGAACTGATATTGGCACACAGCGTTAACACTTCTTATTGTTCAGTTTGTATTGATATTGACCATCCTTTTTTAGATAAACCTTCAATGTTGTAAAACATCACTTCCGCCTTCCAGCAACCAGTACGTTTTTCAAGTATTATTGCTCAAAATAACTTCCATTATAGGATAACATTTCAAGATTATCTGGACAGGTATCAGGACCTTTAAGTGAGTTTAAACGCTAACGTCTAAGAGTGTAATTCTTGACTTTGCAAGATGAAAAATGTAGATGCATTCGCTTTTCTAAAATCTGAACGTGACTGACCTTGTTGGGTGTGATGACCACAGACATGATGACACCATCGTCCTCCTCTGTTGCATTAGGGGAAGGTACGAAGACTGGTTCAGAAGGATACAGACCAGGCTGTTCCCACACCTGTGAGTGAATACAGTAGTTACTTATGTGATACTGGTTTTCGTTTAATCTTCCTAGATGAATCAATATTTCACAGATTCAGATGGAAACTTGAGAGGGAGAAATACATCAAACTCAACTCACCTTCATGTGTTTCCCCTGGAGATCCATCTTGATCAGTGTGTCTCCTACAAGATGTCTGAAGCCGCAGCCGTAGAAGTATCGGTAGGAGTGGGTGTTGTACTTGCCATAGTTAATCTGAGGGAACTCAAGACCTCCGTATTGATGAAGATCCTCTCCGTGGAGGTCCTCATGGGTGCAGAAGACCTGTATAAAGAAAACACGCCTGAGTTTATTTGGCTACAGTTCGGTGTTCATTTCCCAAACTAACTTTGGTATATCCGTATTTGGAAAGGTATATCCACTCTCAAAAAACCTGTCTGTTTGCCAAATAGAGTCTTTTCGGTAAGTGGTCCCATATTATCAAACAATTCCTATAAGTATGCATTTTTCCTTTTTACTATGCGTACAAAGACATGTCATTAAAACAATTACTGTTACATTCTATGTTGTGTTGAAACATGCCTACCTTCTTCATATCAGTTCTTATAGCAGTTGCGGCACAGTCTGGCCCGTTCAAGTTCTGGTCGTAGGGCGTATCACAGTCCACATTGAGAGGCAGAACGAAACGTCGTGGGAATACTCTACACATGGTGTTGTACACCTGATGGGAAATTCAGAAACATGTTTTCAGGCTCATCGAACAAACAATTTTTTCAGCAAAAGCGAAGCAGCCGAAGCACTTCTTTACACCAATGTTCAAAGAATGCTTGAAAGCATGGAAGATACATCTTGGTAAGTATCAATTCTTAGTTATCCTGCTTACCTCATCGAGATCTTCTCCATTCTTGCGCAGGTTTTGTATGTTGTAATTGTTGATTGCCTGGCCATCATCTCCAGCACACATGTCTATGATCAAGAAACCGTCCTCCTCGTACGCGTTGATCTGGTGGAAAGTTGACAGCGCCTTGGCAAGGTACTTGATGTTGCTGAGCTGAAAAATAAATCACAGAAAGCAGATCATTGTAGTTTATTAGATAGTACAAACTTAGTGAATTGACTGCATTGAGTTTCAGAGTTTAGTGCCTTACCTCTCCTGTCTGCTTGTGAATCAGGTGGAAGATAGTGTTGAGTTTTGGGTCCCAGGAAATGCCCTCACTGATGCTTTTACCTGTCAACTTTCCTGTCACAATCTTCAGCAGGTCCATCTTTATGGGCTGCTCAATGAACACCACGTAGTTCTCAGACATTGCTATAATACAATGAGAAGATTACATAAGTTTCGATTCAAGATTCTGAAAGGACAATTCAGTTCAGTCCAATATAAGAATTTGCTGTTTCTGTATCTCATATTTCATGGTAAACTTGGGTTTTGACTATAAGTTGGACAAAGCAAGACATTTTAAGATATCACCTTGGATTCTGCAGTTTAAGTTTGCTAGGGATTGTTGGGACTGCATGAGTGTGTCTGATAGCAGTACTTTAATTACACGATGAAGACACTATATTTAAAGTATATCAGTCTTGCTGACCAATAGCTAAAGATCAGTAAAGGAGGCGATACCCATGTTCCATATTGGATCAGTGTATGTCTACAAGAAATCTTGGCCGAATACACATGAAGATTGAATCTGACTCTTTAAATGCTCATGCTTCAAAGCAATGAGTTGTTTGATTTGTGTTGCTCACCAAAACTGTGGTAGTAGGATGGTTTGCTCTTTTCTACGGAGGGAATGGAGCACAACACAGTGGCTCCCTCCAGGGTATCCCCAGCTGTATTCTTGGTCGGTGGCACTTTGATGATGTTGTAGGTCGCTCCTGTCGGCACAGATACATTTAGATTCTTTCTTCTGGCCCCCAGACATGTGGGGAGCATTGTTCAGAATTCCTCAGAATCAGAATTGCTTTATTTGTCCCACAAGGGGGAAATGCTGTTCTATACACCTTAAGTATACAGATTCAAATGGTGCTGTTCAAACAACCTGATGTAGTTTTTCTAAATTACCTTTGGTTCCGTATGAATTTCCCATGTTGTAAGTTGTTCCATCAGGATCAGTGTGAGGGTGCGCGGTCGCTCCGTTCACAGCAACGAATTTGCTCCAGTCCACCTAATAGGTACATTAACATGATTGAGTATTGTTAACTCTTGATTTCATCTACCTACAAGCCTGCTGTAAATTCACAATGGTTTATGGCTAATCTTAGCTTTGATGTATTAAGCCGTTGGAAATAAGATAGATAGGTCAAAGTTATCAGTCACAACCGCATGTTTTCCAACTACATTCAACTTCTTTTCACCTTTTGAGTGGTCTTCAGTGTCTCAGGGTCCACCTTGTGCATCACATTGGTCTCTGTGCTGACATAATAATCCCCTTTGTAGGTCACAAAACTCACATTGGCATTATCTGTGGGCTCTAGATGGAAAAAAAGATGCTAAAGTGAACACAGGAGAACCACAACAGGTACATACATATTGTATTACAAACTACATCTTATCCTCTGGATTAAATATGATGGGACAAAATATTTACTTGGTAATTCAAATCTTGACAGGAAGCGCTGGAAGAAGTTCTTGCAGGGGTCTGGCATGGTGAGCGTGCCAAACTCTGACACTACGATGCGGTTTTGCTCATTGTTGGCTTTGTAACTGTCACTGGACAGGAAGCGGCTTTTGTAGGTCACGCTTCCATTGGTTATTTTGAACTGGTGCAGGAGAGCCATACCATCAAACCAGTGGTTGAACCTGATGTTGGAGGGAGCAGGAGAAAGGAGTGAGCTTTGGGATGAAGTGGCTAAACTATACGTGTCAATACTTTTAGATCTTTTACTCACTTATGGTTTCCAATCTCAAACTTCCCAGGTCCGTTCCTCAAGAAGCTTCCATTGATCCATTCTGGGATTTCGCCGATGATGTTGGTGCTGATGGGCTCGGGGTTTTCCTCCACAGACCTCACAATGTTCTCAATGCAAGGCAGACCGTGAACATCTGTGAAGTGGTTGATGTTCTTCCTAGACTTGGATTTTTTAAGTGCTATGGAAAAAGAGTTAGAAAAAAAGAGTGTAAACAAAAAAACAAAGAAGAAATAAAGAATCAAGACATTAAGTAATTGATTTACCTGGGCTATTGTTCTGTTGTTGTGTGATGGGTTCCATGGCTGTAGCTTTTTTTTCTTCTCCTGAGTATAAAGCAGTGTCAAAGCCCGAACTCTGCCGTTTCTCCAGGACTGGCAACGTTTTATACTGTCCTCTTGTCTGGGACGCCCCCTAGAAACAGTCAGATAAGTTAACAAGCAGAAAAGGATTTCACAATTATATAAGCCTCTGAATGACAGAAGCACTTTGTGATCACAAGATGGTACAAGTGGTAACTTATTCACAGCTTTATCTCACTGACAAGTGGCAAAGAAATGGCTGGATCATTCTTTGCAAGTAGTTGTTTTTGTCATGTAATAATGATATACTTTGTTATATTGAGTGATAAATATACACCAAAGCAGATGCATTGATGATCCATTTGGGGACATTTTGTCAACACTGAAAAGGGTACAAATCCTCCATCAATGCTTGAATAATGAATGACTCGAGATGTATACAATTTATTTTTGTCATTGCAAACTTCTATTTCTGGCATTATGAATACTTTCGCGATTTGTTTTCTTGCTAACTGGGATTTTCCTTTTGAGTTTATGAGCAGCAAAATTAGTGTCTGGTATCTGCTTGTAGCACTGTACGTTTCACCTATGTTTATCAGCCATAAAGAGACGTGCTAATTTGTTTATGGTTGCATGGGGGCACTGAAAGGTAGATCAGTTAACTGCCAGCACGGGATATACAGGGTTGACTCGTTGTTCTTTATCTTGCATGACAAAGATTGCAGATGTGCAGGTTAGGTTGACAACACAATCTAAATTGCCTATAAAGACCTAGAAAGGGTTATTAACGCCTTTGTTACCTCAAGACTGGATTACTGCAACGCTCTGTATGTGGGTATGGACCAGGCCTCAATTAGACGCCTGCAGCTAGTTCAGAACGCAGCTGCACGTCTTCTAACTGGCCACAAAAAGCGTGACCACATCACCCCAATTCTGGCCTCATTACACTGGCTTCCAGTTCGGTTCAGAATTGATTTTAAACTCCTTTTATTTGTTTTAAACCCTAAATGGGCTGGCTCCGGCCTATATAGCCGAACTCCTCCATCGCTACACCCCAGCCAGAGCCTTAAGGTCGGCTGACCAGCTGCTGCTGATAGTGCCCAAGACCAGGCTCAAAACCCGAGGGCACCGAGCCTTCGCAGCAGCTGGAACACTCTGCCCCTCCACGTGAGGTCGGCCCAGACATTAGGGCTTTTTAAATCAGCTTCCAGTTTGTGTTCGGGCGGCCGACAGCCTATCCGTTTTAAGAGTACGCTTAAGACCTTTCTTTTGATAAAGCTTATAGTTGATCAAATAACCTAATGAAAGTGCTTTAACGCAGATACGCTGTGCCTCTTCACCTACATTTTGATTCTTGCTCTTTCACTTAAATCCTAAAAACTTGGATCTTATATTTAAAACTAAGGTTATTAATTCTCTTTCTATTTTCTCTTTATCCAAAACCTTTTCCCTCCATGACTTCACAAGGTTTTATTGGAGGGAAACAGGTTTGCAGAGGGCCCTATTTCCAGCCGGGGAGTGTTATGCCGTAGTCACAGCGTACCTCCTTACCTCTCACCAATTCCAACTAAGGCCCCAGCGGGGACCTTGCTCCCTGCGTGTGCCTCTCTGTGTCTGTGTATTTTCATGTTCCGATTAACCGAGCCTCCCCCAAATTGTCTTTTTCTTTTGTGTCTATATCTACCCCGGGATCCGGAGTCGAGGCTGATCCTCTTGCTGTGGTCCTGTGTCCTGGATCCTCTATCCTGAGTTCTGGATTGAGTCCTGGACTTCGAGGCGTGGCTGAACCTATCACTGTGGTCCTGCCTGGGTCTCGTCATGCTGCTTCCATGGTGGCTCCCACAGGATTGTTGACATCCTCGTGGATTCATCTTCTTATTATAGACACATGCATTTCCAAACATGTGGTCTACCTACGCTGTAAAATGTATTATCTTTTCGATTTACAAACGGCATCTATTGCACGTCTGTCCGTCCTGGGAGAG